TATACAATTTATTGGTATGAAATTACATTGTTATACACTAAATTAGTCATNAAAAATTTCATTTATGAAAGGTCAAATTCAAATTCAGTTTACAATTAATGAGATCAAATTTCTAAAACTAAAATACTTAGAAGTTTAATGTAGTTTGTGGTTAAATGTTAGATTTGTGAAAGTAAACTTGATATGTGAGATTTCAATGAACATAAGCAATGAAATGGTTAATAATACATTAGAAGTTGAATAGGAAGGAGAAAACCACAATCTATTGGTCCTAAATGATAGGGGTTTCGGGTATTGTTTTCTAGCGTCGCAAAAAAGTCACAAAAGAGAAACAAATAAGTGACGTTTGTGCGACTAAACTGCGACACTGATGAACAATAATGACTCCTTAATGACTCTTTTCCAACTCTGCCTAAGAAATTTGAAAACTAACCAATATATTTGAAGTATATACAATTTATTGGTTTGAAATTACATTGTTATACACCGAATGAGATCACATTTCTAAAACTAAAATACTTAGAAGTTTATTGTAGTTTGTGGTTAAGTGTTAGATTTTGTTAAAGTAAACTTAATATATGATATTTCAATGCACATAAGCAATGAAATGGTTAATAATACATTAGAAGTTGAATAGGAAGGAGAAAACCACAATCTATTGGTCCTCAATGATAAGGGTTTAGGATATTGTTTTCTAGCGTCGCAAAAAATTCACAAAAGGGACACAAATAAGTGACGTTTGTGGGACTAAACTGCGACACTGATGACCAATATTGACTCATTAATGACTTTTCCAACTCCGCCAAAACAATTTAGAAACTAACCAACATATTTGAAGTATATACAATTTATTGGTATGAAAGAACATGGTTATACACGAAACTAGTCATAAAAGTTTAATTTATGAAAGGTCAAATTTAAATTCAGTTTACAATTAATGAGATCACATTTCTAAAACTAAAAACTTAGAAGTTTAATGTAGTTTCTGGTTAAGTGTTAGATTTTGTTAAAGTAAACTTGATATGTGAGATTTCAATGCACATAAGCAATGAAATGGTTAATAATACATTAGAAGTTGAATAGGAAGGAGAAAACCACAATCTATTGGTCCTAAATGATAAGGGTTTCGGGTATTGTTTTCCAGCGTCGCAGAAAAATCACAAAAGAGACACAAATAAGTGACGTTTGTGCGACTAAACTGCGACACTGATGAACAACAATGCTTTAATGACTATTTTCCAACTCCGCCTAGGAAATTTGGAAACTAACCAACATATTTGAAGTATATACAATTTATTAGTATGAAATTACATTGTTATACACCAAATTAGTCATAAAAAGTTTAATTTATGAAAGGTCAAATTTAAATTCAGTTTGCAATTAATGAGATCACATTTCTAAAACTAAAATACTTAGAAGTTTAATGTAGTTTGTGGTTAAGTGTTAGATTTTGTTAAAATAAACTTGATATGTGAGATTTCAATGCACATAAGCAATGAAATGGTTAATAATACATTAGAAGTTGAATAGGAAGGAGAAAATCACAATCTATTGGTCCTAAATGTTAAGGGTTTAGGGTATTATTTTCTAGCGTTGCAAAAAAAGTCACAAAAGAGACACAAATAAGTGACGTTTTTGCGACTACATAACCACGTTTTTTGGCTCTAAACTCAAATTTTGATCTTTTTCGCGAAAATTTTTGGGCCATTTAGGCGGACTTATTTTGCCACCATACAAAATGTTTTGCGACGCATTAGCGACGCTTTTGTGACTCCGACACTTAATAAAAAACTTAAAATCTGAATTCCCAAATCATTCGACACAAACCCTAATTTTTCTTCATCTCTTTCTTCTTCTTTCTCTCGAGACGGAGGCGAGATCTTCCTTCTGTCAATCTATCTCTCTCTCTCAGATTATTTCGAATCCGACACGAACCCTAATCCTCAAATTATTTTGAA